CGTGGGGGGGGGTCTCGCTCTGTCACCCAGGAGTGCAGCGGCTTCTTCATAGCTCACTGCAGCCTGGGACTTCTCGGCTCAAGCGATCCTCGCATCCTGAGTATGTGGGACTACAGGCACACTACGGCTGGCGTTTTGTGTGTGGAGGGTAATTTAGTTGTATTCTCAGGCACCAGAACCATGTTCAGCACCTAGCAGGCAAACATTTGCTGAATGAAGCCACTTGCAAGAAGTCACACGCAGCTGAGATTCAAACCACCCCTAACTGTGAGGAACTGTGTCATGCACGCTGCGGAGCCAATTCCAACCTCTCCACTTGATAGCTGTGTGATTTGGAGCTGTGGTTAGTATCCAGCTACACTGTGCCTCTGTTTCCTCAACTGTAACACTGGGGGGAAAGCTACGAAGATTGGCTTCAAAGTACTGACGTCAGAATTAAACGAGATCAGTACATATAAAATGCTTACAATGATGCCCCTAGCACGGTGCCGAGATCACAGTTCTGGCGATTTAAAAAATAACTTTACCGTCTACTAGGCCCTACAAGTCACAGGAGGACAAGCGCAAGAGGCTACATTAGACACAAACACTCACCGATTTGTGAAGGAGTCAGGCCCTTCTTGGCCAGTTTGTAAATCTGCTCCTTCACGTCGTCAGATGTTAACTTCAGCCACTGTTATAGAATTAAAAGCAGCCTTAGGATTAGAAACCCGGAATGGCGCCGAAGCATAGCGGCCTATCCAACCGCAACACCGCTCCTCACACACGCAAGTTCCTCGCCCCGGAGTCGCTTAACCCAAGACAAATGCAAACCAGGCTTCTCCCCGGTTCCCGCGCGCTACTTACCGTGGGGACGCTACGGCGATAGGGCAAAGCCGACTGGGACAGGCCCTTCCTAGGGAAAGAAGCAGTCTCGGGGTGAGGTGGCGGCCCGTGCCACAGCAGCCCAGAACATCATCCCTTCGGCCCGCGGCCCACACCCCCTCTCTTCCTCCCACCCGCGCCCAGCAATCCTTTTCGACGCCCCGAGCTCACCCGGGAGCATGCATACGACCCATGATGGCGGCGGTCAGGCAGCTAAAGGAAAGCGAGGCTAGAAACGCCGCAGGAAGCCACCCAGCACGCAGGAAGTGACCTCAGACGTCCCCGCTTCCTCGCACGCAGGAGGCGAAGTTACGCCTCTCAGCCACCGCGGTCTGTGTGACTACAACTCCCGAAAGGCATTTCAGCGTCGCACAAGCCTCCTCCATCGGCTGGGCCTCATCCCGGCATGCATCGGTCTTTGGTCAGCCTTGTGGCCAGAGCGGGAATTTGAGGCTGACGCCGGCTTGCGTCGAAGTTCGCTGCTGCAGATGCCGAGATCGTAAAGATTTGCGCTGGGGGTGGGCATGGAACTGGTAGATCTGGAAGGATCAGCCATACATAGGTGTTTGTTCATTCGCCACTGCCGGGCTTTGTCCTGCCACTGGATTCTTCAGAGTCCGCCCTGCGCCTAATAAATTCACAGATAGAAGAGCATGTGATGAGGACCACACGGGAAGCTGTGGCGGCGGCTACCGCCCAGCCACCACTTTCATTTCTCATCTCTGAATCCTACCCTTATCTGTCAGGAGAGAGTCACTGACAGTAAAGAGTTGAACCAGGTCCCGTCGGACGCCAGTCCCCGGCCGCGCTCGAATTCCCCAGCGCAGGGCTTTGAGGCGCTGGGCTCGCCGGGGAGAAGGGTTAGGCAGAGGCAGAGAACAAGTGAACCCAGCCGTGTTCCCAAGTTGACGGACAGGGAAACGCCCTGGGAGCAATATTGCAAAGGCCTAGAGGATGAGAGATAAAATTAGGCAATTGAATTTTTTTTTTTTTTTTTTT